ATATATATATAATAAGTTTCTAGAAACTGCTTTTGTCCCTTCCTGATTGTACTTAGTACCACTTCTTCTTTCACTATTCTTTCTTTCACTTCTTCTTTTTCCCTACTTCTTCTTTCACTACTCCTTCTTTCACTTCTTCTTTTTCCCTACGTCTTCTTTCACTACTCCTTCTTTCACTTCTTCTTTTTCCCTACGTCTTCTTTCACTCCTTCTTTCACTTCTTCTTTTTCACTACTTCTTCTTTCTCCACTTCTTCTTTCACTACTTCTTCTTTCACTACTTCTTCTTTCACTTCTTCTTAGTTTGATGTCCATTCCTTCCATGGAATTCTCAGAAGTCTCCAAATCTTGTAACTGGGTGGCTGACAGGTATCCTAGTGTGATTTGCTCCGTTTATCCTTTCAGGCGTCTATCTTCCTTATCTCTCCTCCTTCTTTCCTTTCAAACATGTATCGTCCTTATCTCCCCTCCTTCTTTCCTTTACATGTTACTTTCTATAATGCCTCTAATCTTTTTCACTAATTTATAACCTTTTTTGTTTTGCAAGAGCCCAAAACCTATTAAATCTAAACGAAAGTGAGAAACTTAAACCCAACCGTAATCCTACAAATAAACTTCATCCTCAAAATGTGAGGCATCGTGGTGAAATCAGGCGCTCGTCAAAATAGGGAAATCAAAGACATTGGCCTTTTTCTGATCGTTGGGCAATTTGTTTTTCTAATTTTCTTTTTTTTTTGGCTCAACAACTTTTATAACCATGTAAAAACACATTTCTGTGGGGATTTTACTGAAAAACATTGATTAAAGGCACCAAAAAAAGTCTATATTCACTTTCAAAGGACTCTCAAGCTGTGGAAATGACCAGACTTTGGCAGCCATTTTCTCGCTAATTTCACCTCTGACACCAGGCGATCCTGCCCCCCTTTAATCGCGAATATTTAGACTTCTATTTTACATAGATGGATATTTTTTTCAGCAAAAGCAAGGCAAATGTACAGACTTTAAGATGATACCAATAACCCCTTATGCCCCAAAATTGACGAGCGTCTGATCCCACTGCCTCGCTACACAAATTTCTTCAGTATCAGCATCTGTGGTATAGCTGCTAGATTCTTTGGTGTTGCATGCAGGAGACACGAGTTTGATTTCTGAGTTGGGAGATATATAACATTTTTATGGAGTACCTCGATCTTTCTGCTGGGATGTTGTATCCCTCTCAGACCGAGTCTGTCTGCTGGGATGTTGTATCCCTCTCAGCCC